TATATATATATATATATACAGATATAAATGTGCGTAAATGTTTACAAAATTCTTTGTTGCGTTACACTGTGCATGCATCATATCATCATCACTTTTTTAGTTGATTTAGTCAGCAGCCTTCGATTACTATTTTGTACTCATGAAAAGCTGGCTCGCTACAAGCAACCTTACCAGCACATATTCTTGTTACTACCGCTATTACGACTGTTGTTAGTACTCGCTTTATGAACACTACTCATCTGTTCCCACTTTGCTTTTTATTCGTATTCGCTTTGATTGTACTCTTGAAACACTTCTTTATTTCACGATTTATTTTAACTGAATGTAGAATTTTTTAAAATTTGCTCGATGTGTTATCTCGAAGTGTTGTGAGTTGCCACCTTGCCTTCTTTAGCAATTCTCAAAATTGATCGTTACTAGTTCACCCAGTTCATTACTCAAAATCATTCGCGAGCATTATGCATATTTGTTTGCTGGAAAATGTATGCGTTGAACATTTCAAAGCAAGACTGAGAGATTATCGGCACTGATGGAAAAAATTACGTATCGATGTGTGTACGTTTTGTAGTTAAGCATTCTAATAGTAAATAATTAGCATATTATGGTTTAATTTAAGCGATTTAATAGGCTCAATTTTAACAGGTGAATGATTTGAGAGGCTGATTGTGAATATTTTCATCGTTTGACTTTCAAAAGATTTAAGATGTTTCATTGGACCGATTCATTTCTTCCGAAAGGCATTGATCGGTTCACGTTGTCATATCTCACAATCTCACAAATTCGTTGGCGTCATCATTTGTAGATGCTTACTGGATTCGATTGCTAAACTGATACGTATTGCTAAACTGATATGAACAAATGAAATGAGCGTATTTGCAATTGCTGAGCAAATTAATTTTATCGCCTTTCTGCAAGCAGTTTCATTTTTCATCAGTGGATTGGGTGGTATTGCATTTTTAATGACTGGATGAAATCTGAACCCGATTGTTGTTAGGGTTCATCGAATTAAACGAGTTTTTTTCGAAGAATGTTAGCTTAGTTATTTAACGATTTGAATGAAATTACAGTTTTTCGAATCATTTGTTTATTGCAGCTCAGTAAATTTTTGTTGTGGTAGATTGCGAACAGGTATTTGCATTGAAAAGTGGTTGATGATGAAACTGATTTTTTCATTTGATCGTAGTTGCTTTCGTGTGCTATAGGAGCAATGAACAATTGCTGTGTTGGTATTAATCAAGATGAAGAAGTGTCTATTTGAAATACACTTGAAATTTGAACAAAAAACAACCTCAAGTTTATTGAAGAAGATTTTTATTGGGTTCTCCAGATAACGAATGATCGATCGAATGACAAAGTGAACATTTTTGGCGTCAGTTATGTTATGTTGAATCATGGATTATGAGTGTCGATTTGATGAAAGATTGCATGACAATTCGTCTAGCATGATTTCTTCACAAACGAGCTGCAAGCACTGTTGTGCGTTGATTGTTGTATGCTGCTACCTCAACTCATGATCAACTTGCTCACAAAAATACAGTCCATGCAACCGGTTTTTTTGCGTACAACTATTATTATTTTAATTCAATATCTTTAAGTACCTCCTATAATTTTGAATTGTTTTCGAACCTTAACAGTACGGTTTAATTTAGTGATACACAGCAGTAATTCATTTCAATATTCTACCCAGTATCGCAATAAAATATGAAGTTTCAAAAATGGGATAGTTGGATTTTTTGTGTTCGCTGGCTGACATTCAACTGAATATGTCATCGAATCCTCCAGCGAAGGGTGAGACAAAAAAGCACAACGAGAACTTATTTGCACATGAAATAGGTTAGGAGAAATCTCGATTCAAGAAAGAAACACCGAAGATATCTGATGAAAATCCGAAAACCTGTATTCTGAAGTTTTATTCAGAAATTATCGCGGTTGAAACATTTTTTTCGGGAGCACAAACAACCAGAACAATTAATTTCAAGTGTGTGGTGCAGCATGATGATCTAATTCATATCCATCCTTCCTTACTCTAAATTTCAGAGCAACACTTCATCGATTTTATTACTGAACATATTTTATCGCCACTCAACATTTTGTTTCCACGAAGAGAATATGTGCTACTTATTATCATTTCTTCGAATGATTGTTATTGTTGAGTGCGTTTCGTTTGATTTGTTTATGAGATTTTCGACTACGTACAATAGCCGATCGTGAGAATTCAATGAAAATTTAGTGACTTAAGCAATGAGAAGTATTTTTTGTTCGGTCATAAACGAAATGGTAAGAGAAGATTGCGATAAAATTCAAACACGCATCCATAAGTATTACTGCTATTCATATTTAGCCGTCTAATCATTTGAAGGAACAGGGACGACAGATCGATCAGACGAGGTGAATGAGGGAATGAAATAATTTCTTCGCAATGATAATGTGTAAACTCAATGGCGAATGAAAGTCAAACATTTATTGCCCACTCAGGTTGTTTCAAAATTAATCGACCACTCACGAATGAGATTGCTCGTTCACGCATGATGCAGTTATATATTTACGGTTATTTTGATGATTTGTGCTCTCTTCTCTACTGGTTTCTGAAATCATCAATTTCTATCTGATTGCTCGTTGCTTCATACCGTTCGTAAAACGACGACCCAAAATACGAATAATAATACCATACCTCAAAACGAACGATGTTATTCTTGGTGTGTTGTGAAGATGAAGAAGAAATATAAGTCTCTTTGTGTTTATAACGGGTTATGATGGTGCAATACAGAATAGAGAAAAACGAAAATGTTTCATCGTTGACGATACCAGTTGCTGTTTTCTTTGTTAATCGCGATGCGATCTTAAACCAATCTTAATGAAAGAAACACAATTACTATCTGTTCTCTCCGCTGCATCCTCCTTTATTTTCTCTCCCTATATAATTGAACGTCGTCGTCATCGTCATTATCAATCCACACATCCCATTCACCCCGTCAACCATAATATCCACATATCCATCCCACCCAATCTTCCTCCATATTTGCAAATTCGAACCAAACCATGTCCCACATTCACTGACTTAATCGTCGTACACTGACAAGAAGAGGAACACCCGGGGCGTGATTCGGCCGACTGACTCCCTTCATAAGGAGCCATTTTCAGTGCGAAACAGTAGGTCTTTTCATGCAAACTAGTCAGCATCATTCATCTATCCAAAGCGAACACATTCTCAGTTACTCACGCATATCCATCATTAACTTCGTCACTACCACTTAAATATTATTCCTTATTCTTATCGAATGTTTTTCGTTACAGTATCTTCGTCAAACTCAAATTGATCACTTAGCGAAGCAATCGGCGTAGAATGTTTTCAACACTTTTTTGAGAAGAGGAATAGTGAGTGTCATGGTATTGAGTAACAATCACTTTCTTATGAACTAATAAGTTAATTTATCCATTTTCTAACT